AGACTGAGCGGAAGATCCAGGAAATCGGGAGATATTTACGGTCATACTGCCACGACCATCAGGACTGCTGGAGCCGCTACCTGCCGTGGGCCGAGTATGCACAAAAACTCTCTCCGTCAATCCACCACAGGGCTCACACCCTTCCAGTGCATACTCGCGGTACCAACCTCCACTGTTTCCCTGGTCCGGTGAACCATCAGATGTTCCAGCAGTCCACCACTGGTTCCAGACGAGCGAGAGGGTCTGGGACTCAGCCCACACTCACCTCCAGCGGCTGTCCGCAGACACAAACCCAGGCGGATGTTCGACGTGCCTCAACTCCCCAATACCATCCGGGTCAACTGTCTGGCTCTCCACCCGGGACATCCGTCTCCGACAGCCCTGTCGTAAGCTGAGTCCCAGATACATCGGTCCGTTCGCCATACAGAGGCAGATCAACCCCGTCACCTATCGACTCACTCTCCTGCTCACTACCGCATCGCACCTACATTCCATGTCTCCCTCCTCAAGCCCTATACTAATCCTCTCACTCCTTCCTCCCCAGGGTCTGGTGCTGCGGACGTGCCCCCTCCTCCTGTGGATCCGGAGGATGATAACATCTACCAAGTGCGAGAAATCCTCGACTCCCGGCGACGGGGCGGCCTTCTGGAATACCTCGTCGACTGGGAAGGCTTTGGGTGGAAGAGAGATGTTGGGTTCAGCGGGAGGACATTCTTGATCCCACCCTACTCCAGGACTTCCATTCGGCCCATCCAGGTCGTCCTGCACCCAGGGGCCGTGGCCGTCCCCGTCGTCGGTCCCGCCGCCAGCTGGACTGCCGTGGGGGGGGGTACTGTCACGGATCCATCTGCGTCAGCACCAGATACCTTCACTCCGCCTACTCGTTCCGGTTCCCCTGACTACTAATCATCATCACCTGTCGTCACCACCTGCCATCACTTATCCGGACTATCATCCACTCCATATATACTCACCTCATTCAGTCACTCACTGTCTGGTCTCGTCTCTACCACGATTACAGACTCTCTATCGCTACCTCACGTTCCTGATTCTACTTACCTGCATTGTATCTCCAACCCGTCAGTCTCCCGTCTGTTCCTGTCCTTGGTCCCCGTCTGCTGCCAGTCCTCTTCATTCTCCCGCTCCTGTTCAGATAAGGAAAACATCATCAGACTGTTCATAACCCTCACCAACTTCAACTAGCACTCTACTTACCATCCTGTGACTGTCATTCAATAAACCTTGTTCATACTCACCCGTCTGTGCCATTCTGTTCTGTGACAATAGCCTACCCCTCTACCAGGGTGAGTTATTTATTATTATTTATTATTTTTCGGAGTTTTTTTTTTTCAACATTAATATTAGTTCCCCTAGCCTGTATTTTGTCCCCTCACGTCTAGAATTTTCAATCGGTGTAAACCGAGCTTTAGCAATCTTTCTCTTCTCTGCAGCTCAGACACGCTGATCTTGAATCTCCTCGTTATTACATCATAACGAGTAAAGGTTACCTCCCCTTTCTTTGCTTTGCCAGCCCGGAGAATTTGGCTCGCCCATGAGAAAATGAGCTAGGAACAGGAAGTACGAACACGCAGCCACGATTTTAGTTTTTCCTCGAGAGATATCATGTCTTGCAAATGAGCGAAGCATGGCAGTTAATCAGTGTTTGGATGTACAAATGAACACAAACATACTTTTTAGTTCCTTCATCCCAGCCTTTGAAGAAACAATGGGTTAATTTTATTTTCTCTGTAAATGCGCCGACACAGCTTCCCCACCGACGACTGTTTCCTCAACTTGGGCCAATACAAAACTGCCCTCGATGAACGTCTGAAAATAAAACGATTGAGCTACCCAGCAACAATTTCTGATGTGTTGCCTAATTGTTCAATTTCAGACAGGTAATCTTTCTCTCAAAATCATTCAATACTGTTTATGCATAAGTCAAGCCAGTGACTAAAATATCAACTTCACATCGTTTTTTTTTTTTTAGTAGGATGAAAATAAACTTTTTTAAATTGTGATCAAATTGTACAGAAAGCGATCAAAGAACAATCTTTCCACACAGCACGAGTTTATCTGGACAACTCGTAATGAAATCAATGACGCACGTTACACTGCACAACGAAGCTCTTACTGCATAATGTAAATCATCGTGTTTGCATTGGTGAAAGCAAGAGTGCAGAAAATTGCGTTACACTGCACAATGAAGCTCTTACTGTATGTACATCATCGTGTTTGCATGGTGAAAGCATTAGAGAGAGTGCAGAAAACTGCGTTGCAATGATCCGATCTTTATTTTCACGATCAATAGACTGTCATCTGCTTGCTCAGTGCTCATCACAGCAACATTTTATGTGATGGGAATAGATCTAAATACTTCAAAAACTTCTCACTATTCGGTAATCTCAATAGCTGTAATAGTAAAAACTTATAATAGCTGTAGTAAACGTATTCGAGAGAGTTTCACATGTAATATGTAGCTATTTCATATGCAAGCATGTCAGGCAATCACAGCAGTGGGCGGTTACACTGAATCCCACAGCAGACACGCCCCTTCAAACAGAGCGTTCAAATCAGAGGCTAAAATCAGGCTAGGAAAAATGCCCTTTATTACTAAATTATGAATATTTTTAATCTAAAAAAACATACTAGCACTCTCTATAAGGGCAACCCAGAAAAAAATTATAAAAATAATATAATAACCCGGTAACACTTTAGAATACGGTTCCTTCGTTAATGAATAACTACACAAGAACTAATGAGTAACACAATATTAACAATCTAGTAACTATTATTAACTAACAAGAAACTCTGATTAACGAACTAGTAAGTAATAGCGCACAGACGAAAGTGGTAGTTCACTATTAAGTAATCAATAACTACTATTTTTTTAATACTTCCCAGAGAAATACTGAAAAAGTTTATTAACAATCTAGTAACTACTATTAACTAAAATAAACTCTTATTAACGAATTAGTAAGTAATAGCTCACAGATGAAAGTGTTACTAGATACTTCTGTGGGAATTACAAATTATTTGGATTCGTATTATAAAGTGAAGATCATTGGAACTAACTAGTAATTACTCAAGTATTACTAAAGACATTTTCTAAAAGTGACTAAAGTTCACCAAAAAATCTCAAACATTTGCACAAATCATGACTAGATCATGTAGTAACACTTGAGTAATTACTAGTTAGTTCCAATGATCTTCACTTTATAATACGGATCCAAATAATTAGTAATTCCCACAGAAGTATCTAGTAACACTTTCATTTATGAGCTATTAATTACTAATTATTTGGATTCGTATTATAAAGTGAAGATCATTGGAACTAACTAGTAATTACTCAAGTGTTACTAAAGACATTTTCTAAAAGTTACTAAAGTTCACCAAAAATCTCAAACATTTGCACAAATCATGACTAGATCATGTAGTAACACTTGAGTCATTACTAGTTAGTTCCAATGATCTTCACTTTATAATACGAATCCAAATAATTAGTAATTCCCACAGAAGTATCTAGTAACACTTTCATCTGTGAGCTATTACTTACTAATTCGTTAATAAGAGTTTCTTTTAGTAGTTACTAGATTGTTAATAAACTTTTTCAGTAGTTCTCTGGGAAGTATTAAAAAAATAGTATTATTGATTACTTAATAGTGAACTACCACTTTCATCTGTGCGCTATTACTTACTAGTTCGTTAATCAGAGTTTCTTGTTAGTTAATAATAGTTACTAGATTGTTAATATTGTGTTACTCATTAGTTCTTGTGTAGTTATTCAGTAACGAAGGAACCGTATTCTAAAGTGTTACCAATAACCCCAATGTCAGGGTACCTTTAAAGCTTATTAGACAATTTGTGCCATTCCTTTAATGTGTATAGCTGTTTTTCCTTGCAAAGTTACAAAGCACAAAGTCCACAGAAAGACAGTTAATTCCTCTAACAAAACACTTTCCTCAGATGCTTTGTTTGTATTCCTGCTGCCATTATTTCTGTAATGCTACATCACCATGTGACACACTTGCATTATGACCGTCTGCTGGCTGGGCTACTTTGCCTAGCCCTCAAACAAAGGTAGTTCTAAGATCAGAACAATTTTAGCCTAGAGCAAGACACACGAACTGACAGTCCACAAAACCCCTCTGAAGCACTAGTCAAGTCAAGTCACCTTTGTAGATATAGCGCTGTTTACAATGTAGATTGTTTCAAAGCAGCTTTACAGTGATAACGAACATAATGCAACAAAGTATGAGGTAAAGCAGATCTACAAGAAAATAGTGTCATAGTCCAGTTTAAGTTCAGTGATGGGTTCATTTTTGTTGTAAAATGTTATCATTTAGTTCAGTAATATTATATACATAGCCACTCTGGAGAAACAGTGATGCCATCATCCAGAGTTCAATTCTTATGTAATGTTGTCTATATGTAGGCCGATCAATAATATTATTGAATATTATGACACATACTGTGACACATACTGTATATCTATATATCACACCTAACAATAGTCAGAATACTTTTATTTGTCACCGAGAAGAATTTGTTTAGGCTGTTGGCATAAAAAATAACATACAGGTTCTCTCAGCTTATGTTAAACTGTCTCTGAACTGCACTGCTAAAATCTCGCAGAGATTTCCTTTTCCTAAAAACATTCTGTTGACACTAAGATATTACCAGTTAGGCCTGTTTTTTTTTTTTTCCGTTTTTTCGCAAAATTTGTTGAACTTTGGTTGAGGGGTGTAATGGGAGCAGTAACTTTGGGCAGATGAAAGGTTGGGTTGTGGATGGGGTGACTGTGGTCACTGAGTGAATTGACAGACAGAGGAGAGAGGTGGCTTGTTTTGGAGGTTATCAGCAAATCAGAATCTCTGTATGAAGGCAGGGAAGATCATTGATCATTTGGACCCATTACAACAATAAATCTGGTGTCTCCTTCCAAAACCTCCTCCAACCACTGGTGTAGTTCAGCAGTGACTCCATTTACAGTCATGGCCACTACCTCAAATCTGGTAAATACATTTCATTTTCATTCATAGATGTGTGGATGTGTCATGCTAGCCTCTTAAAAAAAAGTATTATTATTTTGTATTATTATATATTAGTATATATCAGTATTGTTCTATAATGTGTCTCGTGTAGAATGTGGAGTTTGTAAGGACGGGCTACGGGAAAGATACGGTTAAAGTTCTTCACATCCATCGTGAAGGATCTCATCACCGCATTACTGAGCTGATTGCAGACGTTCAGTTAACCCTGAAGACCCAAAAAGACTATCTGACTGGAGACAACTCTGATATCATCCCCACTGACACAATCAAAACACTGTCCATGCTCTTGCCAAAATAAAAGGAGTAGGTATTTATTTGTTTAATTTTGCTCTTATAAGTGATTTGATTTATAGCTTTTTCTCTCATATATAAATAAATAATAAAAAAATAAACTAAATAAAATGAATGTATAAATAAAATTCATACATTCATCATTTTATTAGTTTTTATTTATATATAATTCGTATTTTTACGAAAATGATAAATGAGTTGGTTTTGATGAAGACATTTAATATGTCTGAATCAACTTGATTTCAATTGATTTACTGATATTAATAAATAGTATTTTTTCATGGTTTGTTCATGTAAAAACATTTTTCTTTTTTACTTTTTACAGTGAATGCACCACCATTAGTTTCGATAATCAACAGATGTTGAATGTACAAAGTGTTCCATGAATTGGTTATTAAATCAACTTAATCATCTTGTAATTAAATAGCTGATGTTTAGTTGTTTTAAGCAATGTCTGTATAAAGAATATTTCTTGTCTTGCAGATCAAGACCCTCGAGGGCTTTGCCCTGGATATTTGTGAACATTTCCTCACAGCATTAATCATGTCACAAGAGTGAGGGTCAACATTGATGAAGTTCCCTGGAAGGAGACTGGAGAAGGTGTTGTGTTACCGTTTAAAGCAGACTATGCAGTGACTTTCAAAAGCAAATGAGATATTTGCATATATTTTCATCATTTAGTCAATCATTTTTAATAAATCAGCTTACAAATGAGGAAGATCACAAGCAATAAATTATACATAAGTGAACAATAGCTATTCACAGTACTGCAATGTGAATAAGCAACCTCTGTAACTGTGCCTGTATAAACTTAAAGGGTTAGTTCACCCAAAAATGAAAATTAAGTCATTAATTACTCACCCCCATGCTGTACCATCCCCGTAAGACCTTCGTTCATTTTCGGAACACAAATAAAGATATTTTTGATTGAATCTGAGAGCTGGATCAGTCCTACATAGACTGCCTAGGGACTGGCTCTTGACGGCCCATTAAAGTCATTAAAGAAAGGTTTTAAATATCTCCATGTGCCTAAAGCGGCTCAATTATAAGTTATCAAAGCGACGAGACTACTTTTTGTGCGAAAAAAAACATAAATAAACGACTTTATTCCACTATCCCATTACTTCCTTTGGGCGCATGCGCGGAGGAACTGAGACGAGGACGTTCTCCTTCTTGTTACCGCTGCTCACCGCTTAGGAGTTTTACCGCCCCCTACCGTATAAGATGATGTGCTGATATAGCTGAAGCGCAAAA